ATATTTTACGTCATCGTGCAAAGGCTTTTTCTTCGGTGGAAAAAAATCTTAGCTGCATCTTTTTATTCAAAAGCAACGACGAAACAGCCAGCTGACGTCACATTAAAATTATTTCGTGATTATTTATTGATGTATGCGCGAGCTTAGATATTGCGCTCACTCACGCTTTTCAGCATAACTTGTAAATGTGTCATTTTTGCGAAGAAGGAAAAAAAACCATGCCCTTGCGTTGGAAGACGGTATTCTTATTATCACAGGCCACATGAAATACGCAAGTTTATGGAGAGTCGTGGTTTCATTGTGGTTTATTTCAATTGCTAATGGTGCTATATTGCATTTTTATGAACACAAGAGATTTAAACAGCTTTATAAAAAGGACATATTTGCGCTATGCAATAGTCTGTAAAGAAGTCAGTATTCTTTTAGATTTTTCCGAATCTTAAGAAATTTTAGAATTTCCATTTAACACCGAGAATATACAGTGCCTGGCCAAATTATTAGACGTACTATAAGATTCTTTGTAAAATCTTAATTATCAGGTGATACTACACAGCTTTATTGTTTTTTACGCGGCTGAAACCGGTTTACACTTGTTAACGTTCGTGTATCAATTGGTTAACATTTAAAATAATACGTTTAAAATAAGTGCAAATAGGAAGTATCTCTATAAATATTTCTCTTACACGGCGACAAAAAAAGGCCTCATTACAGCTCCCCGAATGGCAATGCTAGAAAATTGACCAATGATTGCAGCCAAAAATGTCACATGCCAAATCTAGCTGAGATGGCTCAACACATATATCACGAATTTATTTGTCTTACTAGAATTTATTTGTTTATGCAGGTTTTTCCATTGCAATTCACTTATTTCAATTTTTAATACACTTAATTATAGCCAAAATTTTAANGCCTGCTTACCTCATTGCTCAACGATATCAGTTTTAGAAATTTTATCTTAAGATTTTATACTATAGCTCATTTCTAATAGGTTTAACGAATTACATGTATTTACTAAAAAGATGTAATTTTTTATTTAAAAAAAAGTTGTATATGGATTTGAATGATTGTTTTGAATTCTTAGAATTTTGTGCATTTGCAATGTACCTAAGTTAGTAGCGAGCGAAGCAAACCATATAAGATTGCGTAGCAATTTTCGGGGGTTAGCGAGCAGGGGTCGCAGCCCACTAGTATAAAAAATATCCTGAATAAAAACCCATCACATGTATGTTTAAATATAAAAGTAGTGCATATAAACAGGTGCAAAACGTGTAATTATTAAACCACTACAGTGCATCTAATAATCTGGTCTAATTATTACAATATACTAATATAATATCTGATGTAATGAATATTCTATATTTATATAATATATAGTCTAATTTATTTAATCGTCGAATTTATATTATGTATCGTCTAATTTAACCAATTGATACACTAACGTTAGCAAGTGCAAACCGGTTTCAGTCACGTAAAAACAATAAATCTCTATAGTATCGCCTGATGATTAAGATTTGTCATAGAATCTTATAGTACGTCTAATATTTTGGCCAGGTACTGTATGCAAATAATATTGAAATACTTTTATTATAAAAAAAAGTATATTTATGTAGAAAAAATACAGATGATTCCCATTGTTTTCCGAATTAACAAAATATTTTTACTCAAAAGTATAATAATGAATATACATTTTACTAGTCGCTTCCAGTGATCGGCTAGTCCATCTTTTTCAATAAACACAATTTCACGCATTGTGCAGTCAAAAATAAAGACAATATATAATAGATATACTCATATTATACAAGTGACCGTAAATTTAACTTTCTCCTCTTGTTCGCTTTTTCAGTTAACAGTTGTTTTGAGGTGTTTTTCAGGTTTGGCAAAAGTAGACACCTTAATATATTTATGATTAAAATGTTTAGAACAACATTTTTAAAAAAATTTTTTTAATATGCCGCATGGCTATCAAATCTGATTGTCTGCTGAATTGTAGCATTTGCTTATGCCTCAATAAACACACCATCTTGTTTATACACAACCAGCTGATTTCAGCGATCTTATTCTTCTCGAGTTGCAGATACCTAATTAGGTTTTTAATTATCCTCGGGATTTCATCTGTTTCTATTTTTTAACCCTTCGACACATAATTTTAATTAAACATATTTTTCCCACTTTTTTTCATTATTTCGTACTAATTTAAGTCAAATTAAGTGAGAAATATTTTACTTAGCATTTTAATAATTGATGGTTAGGAAACACAGCTTGAAACATCAGTTTCTTTTTCTGCGTTAAAGTTAGAATCTTCCATACACGGTTACCAAAGTTAGAATCTTCCATATTCCATGCACTTATTTCTATTTAAAAAAACAGCTATTTGTTATTGAAATTTCGTTAAGTTACAAAATCAATTATTGATAAATGTTTCAATACAAATGAAAAAATTTCAAACTACTTTTTTTGGATTTTATATTTTAGTACAAAAATAATTCAAATAATCTAACAGATTTGTTTTAGTAACTATTAGACTTTTTTTTTATAATTAGAAAATACCAATATATAGTTTGACTTGTAATTAGAGCATCAGGAACAATATATATATAAAGGCGTATATATCAAAGTCGCGAGGCGTCTTTGATGTTCTAAATCGGGAGTGGCCATGTTAACGGATAGAGTGCCACTATCTAAAGAATGAGTTATGCGTGCCACTTCTAAATGCTTAAGTCAATCTATTGTGTTCTAAACACTGAAATCAATTCGTGTTCTAAATACTGAGATCAACATGTTCTGTTCTGAAGTCTATCTGTAGTGTTCTAAATAGTGACATTAATTTGTTCTATTTCTTTAAACAACAATCAAATTAATTTGTTATTATTTAATTAAAGAAATCACATTTCCACATATTCTTTGCTTTTTGTGCAAAATAATTGGATTATTCTAACTTTCAAGGTGAATGTCACATGTTTAAGTAAATATAAAATATCTTTTGTGTCAACTTGTCAGTGTTATTCTTATCATATCTTTATTCTTTATGGGTAATAAAAAGAAAAACGTGTGTTGATCAACAAATTGAATGACGTTCATCACAGCAAATGGAAACACTTCCTCATTTGAGGCGATATAATTAATATCTCTTATTACCGACAATTTTTTCGATTCAAATTAGAGGCCTTAATGTGTATTGTTAGATACCTTTTGAAAAATGAAGTCGAAAATTATTGTTTAAGCGAATAGAAGACAAAAATTTTATCAAAATACTACGAATCACTATTTAAATGAGAAAGTACTAAAAATATCAAAACCAAATTGATTGCCAGATCCTTCGACTTTCTCGATCAATCAAACTTTTTTACTGTTTGATACCGTTTTTCTTTTTGATGATTCATCATAACGAGTCGGTGATTTAATTTGATAACATTTTAATTGCTTCATGAAATCGATCGAATGGTTTCTGAGTGAAGAAAATGTTTTAAAAAAAAGTCGTACTTTTAAATATTTATTTCACAAAGAACTATAGGACTAATTTTGTATTAACAATTAAAATTGAAAGCATTCAAAATTGCATGGAATAAAATGATGCAAAAATTTGTATACGTTACAGTTAAAAAGAATGTTCCATCATTGTTAAATTAAATAATCACAGATTATCCTAAGATTTTGTTTTTGTATGGGATTATCTTGGATAAACTAGCTTTATAATTGTGCACGGAGAAAAAAATTCTGGTTAATTTACTGTACTGTATGGTAATGATATTTCTGGTAAAAAAAACAAAAAACAATTCTGGTTGATAAAACCGAAATATAGAGCATTTAAACCATTTATATGGTAATTTTTCCGTTCATATAGTAACGGTTTACCGGAAATTCTGGTTTTTAAAATTATTATTACCACACATTAATTAAAAAAATTCAAAACAGAAAAGCAAATTTAATCGAATAAATGGTTTTAATGCTATGCTAGGGTATCTCGATGAAATTCCCAAATTTTACCACATTTACCAACTTATTAATTTTACCACATTACTTTATATCGTCTACACAAACTAATTAGAATATTTAAGAATAGTTTCTTTAACCAACCTTAGCTCGTGAGTTACTATCACTGAATCAAATGTTTAGCCAAAGTGTTTATTTTTTTTTCTCTTTTATTACTATTATTTTTCTTATAAATCCTTTACTAATAAATCCTTCAAAAGTTCTTTTTAAAAATTAAAATACCTAATCGTTTCCCTTAAGCATTTAATAGACATTCCAATGATTATTATAAAAATTACTCAAATATATTCCAAAAGCTTCTGTAAGAACGTTCGTTGTGTTTTTGTAAAGTAGTTTGCGATATTTCACTTTTATTGTAAAAAAGTTTTGGCAGAAGAAACATTTTGAACATAATTATAGCAGGATTTTATTAGCTTGAGCTAAGTATTTATTATTTCCAATATCTATAAAACTATTGTGGTACATTTCGTCGTAATATCATGATGAATGTAAATTATGTTAATTACGAATTTGTAATTGTTTATTTGAGAACGAGATATGTAAAAATATATATAATTTAAGAAACCCTTTAAAATAATTACCAAGTTTATGTTTATAAAATGTTGCAAATGCATAATTTCAGATCAAAATATAACTATCTAAGTTCTTAATATAATTTAGTGAGCAAGAATTTTTTTGTGTCAACAACTTACATTTTCATTAAGTTATCAGGTTTTAATATTTTATAAAAATAAAGTTGTCGAAGGAGTGCTAGATTTTTATCTGTTAATTGACTATTTGTGTTAAAAAAAAATTTCTGCTGACAAAACACAAAATTTTTGTCATCAAATCATTCATAACTTTTTAAAGAATGCAGATAGAGAGGTGAAATTTTTACATTGGGTTTGAAATCGTTTTCAGTTTAACTATAAACAATAAGGAAAATGTTCTATACTTTAGTCAATTTTTAAGTACTGCGATCTCTTAAACAATTCAATAAGATATAATAAAAAAAATGTAAATATGCTTACCTCCTACTTCTTCTAACCGAATATAGAAAAGCCATTTTTTGTCTCAATTTAGTCGACGCTGTTAAATTTTTGGTTCGAAAAACTGATACATTGATAAACCTTTCATCTTTACAATCTTATCGTTTGATTAAATTTGATTGTCGTCATTGGCAACATAGCTTTACATCTAAGAATTGTTATTTTATAAAAATAAATTATAAAAACAGCTCTTTTGACGATTTAAAACGTTTAAAAGAAAAAAAGACCCAAATGGATTTTGTTTGCAATATAGGGATGAAATAATGGAATGAGGAATTCAATTACTACTTGTAAAATATGGATGTTACTATATTTTGTCAAGAAGTGTAATGAAAAATATATCTCAAAAGTTATTTTTATGTTTTTTGATAACATTATCTTCTGCTAAATAGATAGTTCTTGACGTCTTTCGGCAAAGACTTTAAAATAAAAATAAGTTTTAATTGTTTCTGTTTTTCTTCCTTATCAAGGAGATAATTATCAGATTTATTTAAAGAATATTTTAAATCAAGATATAAAAAAGGGGTGGGGGATTCGTGATAATATCTCTTCTCTTTAAGTGCAATAGTTTGAAATTTCAAATGCCGATAATGTTTTTCACCAAACACTTTAAGACTTTACACATACACATTATGAAAATAATTGCTACGCTTCTTAAATTATGAATAATCAGTTATTAATAGAATTATTAACTTGGAAAAAATATTGTTTAATTCAGTTACCTAGATGAATAATTGTTGAATAACACTTAAATGTTATTAAGGAATTGATTTAAATTATGAAGAATAGTCTCAATAATGAACCATTGTTTCATTATAAGCAATTGCTTCAATAAACTCAGATTTGCTTAGAATAAACTTTTTACAACTGAAATACATTATTAAAATAGTTATATAATTGGTTAAATATTGGATAATTTATTAATAATGAAATTATATCATGAATAATAATTGTTTAAGACAATAATTCAGATAAATAATTGTTTCATAATTGCTCTTAACTTTTGAAAATTGCTTGAATCGATGAAGTATTTTATTATGAGAAATTATTTTCTTAATGAAAAATTGTTGAAATAATTAAGAATTTAAATCATTGGTTTTTGATGAAAAATACTTCATTGAACATTATAGGGTAATGGATAATGTCAAGTCGTAATAGATAATGTTCAGTAATGTCGTAATGGATAATTGATAATGTTCAGGTCCATAATATATTTGAACTTTTTGGAAGAAAAAAAAAAGATAAATAGTGCATTTTTATTGTTCCTGTTTTTTGTCCTTATTAAAAAGATATTTGAATATTTATTTAAGGAATATTTTGTACCATGACACTGATCAAGATATTAATCATTAATCAAGATGTTGTGGCAATAGCTTCTCTTTTTGTTATTGAGGTGCAATAGTTTGAAATTATACAGGGCAATGAAGTAGCAGATTGTTTTCAATTAACGCTTCAAAACTCTACAATATGCGCCATAAAATAATTACATTGCATATAATTATACGCTTAATCATGCATAATTGAATAGTAAAATTACGCTAAAAGAACAAATCTTTTGTTGCATTGATACAAATACTTGATCTTGAATAATTCGGGAGGGGGAATTTCAAATCTGAAATTTGTTTTGCTCCTACAGTTTCAGATTTTTCAAAATATTATTTCTAATCTACTTTTAGTCGTCGAAATGTACAAGTTTTAAAAACGGTATATTTTACAGGGGGTCATGTGTATGATTGCGACATACTTTTAAGGGAGTTAAGGCATATAATCAGGATTAAAAATGCATACAAAACCATGCCCGAAAATGTCGTCGTACACGGCTAGGGGTGCTTCTATATCATAACCTGTTCAAAAGTTCACGAAAAGAAAGTTCATAATAAGGAAAACACCCCTAGCAGCGTATGACGACAGGTAAGAGTTTCCATCCAATTTTAATCCAGATGATGTGCCCTCAAAGTCCAACATTTACGCGATCGCCTGTTACATGTAACGTTTTTAACCTTGTACATTTTGTCAAAAACTAGTTTTAAAATGTCATTTAAAAAAGACAGTTGCTTGCAGAGAAAAACCAATTTGATATCTACAGTACGGAAATATACAAGATCTATTGAAAAATCTTTTGCAACAGAAATTTTTTCCTCCCCCCAGTGTTATCCAGGTAAATAAATGTTTAATAACTGCCTTTGAAAAACTGTTTCGCTCTTTTGAAAAATTGTTTCAAATTGCCTAATAGACAGTTGTTTAATATAATCTCTATTTGATATAATCTTGTTCCAAAATGATAGATTGGGTCTACACTGTAAAACATTTCTTTTGCAAAATTACTGTAAAGATTACTGGCACACAAGATGCTTTACTCACCTCATTGGGCGTACGCCTCCCAATGAGGTGACCCAAGTTCGAATCCCAACGATGGCTGATTGATACGAATTCTGCTCTCGGCTGGTACAGACTACAGTGTTGACGTAATATATTCCTAGTGGTTGGTGGATCGTGGGTTAGAATACCCTTACTCTCGGGATAACCATGTGAAGGTTTTGTGTTATTTACTCTCCGCGCAACGCAAATGCAGATTAGTTTCTGTAAAAAACCCATAATTTGCATTAATTCTTGATCCAGGAGTTTCTTTATCTTCTGGGATGGGTTCAAAAAAGCATGGCTACAGAATTGAACATTGATAGTCGTAAACCTAGAAATGAGTTGACTGTTTAACGCCGGCTATAAAGTAATTCTTGCGTACAATACGCTTGCTATAGTAATACACAAAAGAAATGGAGATAATCTTAATATAAAAAACTTTGACTTTGTTAAAAAGTAGTAGATTTAATAAAAAAATGTGATTAGTTAGTGCCACTTAGAACACTTTTCTAAGAAGTTTCAGTGGAATCAATAAATGTTTATTTATATCAAACCTTATTTTAATTTGCCCCTAATTAAAGATTTCTCCTTCTCTGCGCAAATGTATTAAGTAAAACTGATATCAGTTCGCTAATAATATATTAATAAATAAAATTTATTTTCCCTCTTTTGTATTTTGAAATTTTTATCAACCGTATGCAGTCCGAGATTTTAAGAACAGGGGTCTGTCCAGACATTTTGTAAAAGGTCCGGTTTTCGTGAAATTGTGAAAAAATTACTCACATTCTTTCAACTAGGGCCTGCTTTTATGAATTTGTGCAAATAAGGTCCGGTTATAGCAAAAAACTTTTTCAAGGAGTTTTTAAATTGTAAATAGATACAAGATTATGCTCGGCACTGTAAAATTATAGTAAAAAATTAAATTTTCAAAAATAAACAGCAATTGCTGCTTCTAAATTAAGAGATGCAACATACAAATATTTGGTATTTAGCTTATACTGCTGAACGCAGAATATTCATTTCGGACGAATAATGGAAGAATCGTCTGCAGAAGACAAAACTTAATTCGTTTACATCCATCTTTCTTGTTTTCTGCCCTGGNTCAGTTAGCATTTTTTTACCGAAATGCAGTAATTCTCTTTCGTTTAATACATATCTTTTGAGAGAGTAGTCAAGAGGGACTTTTATCGTTATTCTATTTTAAAGATAAGCATCTTCAAAATAGTAAATAAATTACGTATCACAAAAACCTTAATTTTCTGTAATTTAAATGTAAAATAAAAGTCGTTAAAGGGGGCGCTGGTGGCGATAGTTAAATTTTGTTGTTGTTGGTCATATCAAACACCAATAAGCAATCAATAATAATCGCTGCTTATTATTTTTAATAATCTGTTTAATCAGAGCCTTGGTGGCCCAGAAGATTGTGAGCTCGCCTCTCCATCAGGTGACCTGGGTTTGAATCCCAGCAAAAGTGGGCCCTCTCCCTAGAAGGCCCCCCAGCACAGATCAATTTAGTAGTCCGACGTAACGAACATAAACCGCGCAGTGAATAAAAAATAAGAAAGATGTCATTACGTTTGGACTACTAAAGGATTCTTGTTTATAGGAATCTTTTCTAGGAGGTAGTGACCTGTCGCACCGACCAATCTGTTGACGTAAAATATCCTCAGGGAAAGAAAAGTCACGGGTTAGAGCAGCGATTCTCAACCACTGTGCCGCGGAACTTTTGTGTGCCGCCAAATTCGTAAAATGTGCCGCCAAATATTAGAAATGATACAATAAAAATTAATTATTATTTAATAATTTTATTATGAGTACAGCTTAAATTAAAGAAAAGTGTGTATACATATATATATATATATATATATATACTTTTTTAAACTTTTTTTTTTTGTTTAAACCAATTTTTTTTTATTTTTAAAAATAAAATGTCAAATAATTTTTTAAGCGCTAAATGAAAATGAACTAAACCATTCAACAAAAGTATTTAAAGGTATTTCATTTAGCCAATAAATAATTTTTTCAATAAAAAATTTTAAATGTGCACTTTCAAAATATAACTATCTTTAAATTTTGAGATTATTGAAACCCTACTTTAAATTTATTTCTTTAAAGAAGCCTTGAATTCGATTGCAAATTTTATTTAAATATTTGATCAAGGGATCATTAACTAATATAGGCTATTTTTTTCTAGAGTAACATAGAAATTTCCTATACTTTGATTTCTAATTATTATAAGTAGCTCAGTGTATCATTAATTAAATTTTATTGAAAACTTTTAAAACATTCTATTCTGAATAAAGTAACTGTGAAATTAAAGATAGTATATTTTATTATTCTTTTACTTTCTTTACTTGCGCACTTACTTGTGTACTTACGCAGAACAACTTTTTTTTAGTTTGCTAGCTCTTTTTAAAAGCCGTCTTTTAAGTGTATACTGCACACAAAAAATGTCCTGCCTGATTTTTAAGAAAAGTTCTAAACATAAACCAAAAAATAAAGTACAGAGCTCTGGCAAGCACGTCATTTTCATTTATGCTCCTGATTATATCAAGCATAGTGTGCCATTAACAAGATAAAAAAATGTTTTTCTTACTTTTTTTTTAATCAATAATTACATTATTTAACTAATTTTAAAAACCATCGGAGAAAGTGGATTCGGTGATGGCGGTCTGCTTTATTTTAATTATTTTGTGATTTTATCTTAAGATTTAACTTTAAATTTGTTTTTATGTATATATACATTTACAAGAATGCAATGAAACGCAAACATTTAAAAATTTCATATTTATGTTTTTTCGAAGTAATACAAATTCTCATTAGCTTTTAAATCTAAAATTAAAAACTCTTTTTTCCTGAGAAAATGTTATATTTTTTCATTTGGTTTTATTCAAACTATTTATACATATATAATAAAAGAATTATGTATGCATTAAAAAATAAAATTTTT